CGATAGTTGCAACTAGAAAAAATCTAGTAATCGCCCAATTACTAGATTTCCACTGTCGTTACACAGTAGTTGCAATCGAGTAAAAATCTAGTAATCTAGATGAATCGGGCGATACTAGATTTTTTTTGACGCTTGGGCGTGTCCTTGCCAATCACGAACTAACCGAAACTAATTTGACCGGGCGGTTAACTGTAGAGATGAAATGAATGACTAACCTTACAGTATTCCATTCTCTTTCTATAACATCAAATAAAAATGATTTTCTTTTTTGTGGCGTTATTCATATATAGTAGTGTTTCATTTGGACAAAAGGAGAATGAATAACGAAACTTTCATTTTCATTCATGTCATATATCTGCTTTTTTTTCAGTCTCTCTATGCGTGAATCGTTTTAAAAAGGTCGTGAAAGTGTGAAAAGAACATGTAAAAAAGATGCCACAGACTCAGGTAGCCTGTTATCGAGTATAGTGTTTATCTTTGTTATTACCTTTTTCCGCTAAAATCACGACTCATCCTTTCACATATTCCGTGAAATGTATCGACACATTTTTAAAGGATATGAAATAAAACTTTCGCTTTCATTCCTTGATGAATGTGAAAGTATTGTAAGAAAAAGAATAGCATTACTCCATTTGTCTCGTCCATAACCAAACGTTACCCATGTATAGAAAGCAAAGACGTCTATATCTTACGATTCTCGTTAGGCACATATTCTTTTTTCTTATTTTTTAAGCTAGGTTAGAGTACCCGGTTAACCGGACGAACTGGACACTCCAACCGTCCGGTTTGCCTGTAGATTAACCTGGATGACAACCTCCCTGTATCTAATGTATTTCGTGTATAGAACTAGCTGAACCGGTCGGTTAATTGCCCCGGTGGAGCTAGGTCGGATAGAGCTAGGTCGGATAGAGCTAGGTCGGATAGAGCTAGGTCGGATAGAGCTAGTTCGATCGATCGGTTAAGTAGGCGGTTAACCTAGTTGATAACCTCCCCAACCGTCCTAGAGTAGGTTGAACCGCCCGATCCTAGGTTAGACTTTTTGAGTAAGTGAGGTAGTAATATTCCACATATTAGGATTACTAGTGTTTATCAAAAGCAGTTATATACAGTTTTGATCATAATTTTGGATAGGACGAAATTAGTACAGGACTAAGCGATACAATCAAGTTTGATCAATTATTAATGGCCGGTTGTGATATTGAACCACGTCCGATGGAAATTATTTTCTTATTTGGGAAATTGATAACTCATATATGCATCTCTGAGTTCATACGGGACAAAGCCGGCTCAAGTACGACGTTTCTGTGCGTATCGGCTGATCTGGCGACGTAGTAATATCAAGTCTCGACTAGCTATACTTCAAACTCGAGACCCAAACGGAATCCTCACCTTAACCTGTCTCCAATCTGGCCCAGTTTCAAGGAGTATTTGGAATGACACACAACCTTAAGCAAGATCGAAAACGCTCGTAGTAGCTTAAGTCTCCCCCTCCCCCGTCAGAAACATAAAATTTTTTACATTGACTCTGATCAGTATTGTTCAATTTCTTCAACGTAATTCGTCTGTAATACTGATTCAGGTATTATAGCATAAAGTTATTTTTATGCTATAATTCTAGGACTTTGATACACTGACATTTTCAGCGGCACTTGCAAAATGATATAGTCGATGAAACATAAGTTTCAGAGATGGAACCAGTTGGTGACATCAAACCTTTATACGAAAGAGTTGAATTGGATGTTGATTCCGTAGAATAAATACCATATTTTAGAAGAATGACATTATAGGTTTCAACTAGAAATCTTGACTTTCGCCAGAGTTATTCGCTAAATAAGAGTTAAAAAGGAACAAAGATCGTTTTAAGTCCCGAACAGCTGTTTATAGCAGAGAACGAGAGGTTTGACTATAACTTGGTGGAAACATAAAGCGTTTAGGGCACTCGTATCAGAAGTCATTTACGTTTTACGGATGTATTTCGATGTCTTTGTTTTTCCAGTCCTTTACTATATCCTGCGCTTTTCGTGCTCAAATCGATAACAAGTAAAACAAATTCTATCATTCCACGTGGTAATCACCAGCCAGATTCGAACTTCTTTCTCTCATATGGAATTTTACCCACCTCAATCACCGCGAGAATATTAATTCGAATCACCTGGAGTTGAGTGGATATACTCTTATTCCAGTCATTACTTTCTAAACAGAAGATAATCGTATAACTGAAGAAAAGAGAGAACTCTGGTCGATATACTTCAGTTTTGATTTGATTCTTCGAATGGCATCTTCAATTGTGACAACCCATGGATGAGTGGATGGAAGTGAATGATGGAGGATCATGGCTGCTTTCTGAAAATATTCGAGTGCCAACTGATGCTTGTTTGTGTCTTCGTGCACGAAACCAATATTTTTGTATGTGGTAGCGATAGAAGGATGAGTGGGTAGAAGAGACTTTGTCTTTATTCTCAATGCCTTATCGTAATTTGACAAAGCCATATCATATTCGCCTTTGGTCGCATAAACACTGCCGATGTTCATATATATATCACCTACACTTGGGTGATCAGTAGGAAGAACCTTCTTCTTTATCTCTAGTGACCTCGTGTAATTGTTGATTGCTAAATTCAACTTGTTTTCTCTCAGGTAGATGTTTCCCATGTTGTTGTAGACATCTCCAATACGTTCGTCATTTTTACCATAACACTTCGACCATATTGACAAGGCTTTCTCATAGTTCTGCAGTGCTGATTCATTATCACCCATCACATTATAAACTCCACCAATGCTGTTGTAACTATATCCAATGTGTGGATGGTCTGGTGTTAATGTGTGGAGGTTGATGGAGAGGGATTTATTGTGATGTTCAAGAGCTAATGTGTAATCGCCTTTGTCATCAGCAATATTTCCAAGTAAGTGGTAACAGGGTGCCTCGTGTGGATGATTCTGTGGTAGTTCACGAAGTCGTCGTTGAATACATCTCTCAGCCTTCTCATATTTGCCCATCTTCCGCAACAAACATCCAAGTGAGTAGAATGTCGCTTCACCTTCTCCAATCTCCTTCTTCATATGATCTATCATCTTCTTTATCTCATGAGCATCTTTACTGCACAAGACCAACTTCACCACCCACACACCACCATCACAATCCACTTTCTCAATTCGAAAGACAGCACCGAGCATGAATAACACTTCATCTTCAGTACGAAAATAACTCAGATGTGAGATGGATGCAAATGGTGCAGTCTGCCGATGAGTGTCTGCTTCAATCACAAACAACACTTTCTCCACATCATGCGCGCCAGCTTGAGCGAAGCAGAGTGCTGCCTCTCGATCAATACTTGTTGACAAGAACGATCGCATCGATATCAGCTCACCCACGCTCTTTCTTATCTTGTCCACTTCTTCTTTTGCCATGCCTTGACCGCGATAGACTGTGATGATGCAGTGATCACTCTGTGACTCTTGCTGAAGTTGTTTGTGGATGTCGGTGATGAGGAAGCGAAATAAAATGAGAATATCGATGTTTTGACAACGAAGCGCTTTGTTCAGCACTCTGTACAGAAAACAATCACGAGTGTACCACCAAACAGCACGCGACGAAGAGTAGTTCTCGTCAAACTCACGAAGAATAGTAAGATTAGATGCATTTCCTTTGTAATTTTGTTTGCAACTATCGATGAGTTGGTGCTTGGATATGTCTGAGTGTGTCATGTGCAGAAAGATGTAGATTAGCAGCTGAAACCACATGAAGGACGCGTTGAGATCACTGTGCGACTCTTCTTTACTAAATATCTCAAAGGCTACTGTCTCTTCTGTTTGCTCTCGTTTCACTTGATCGGCACTAACTTTAGTGACCAGTTCGGTCATCTTCACGATCACACCTTTAATCTGCAACATCAATGACAGTCACAAACGAACAAACACGATGTGTAGAATGTGCTCACTTTGGTGTAGTGTTGTGACCATTTCTTGTTACTCTCTTCGTTCATGCAGTACACATAGATGGCACTCATCTGACAAAGATCATGCACTTTCGGCACCATCTCACGTCCCAGTCG